TTAAAATTATTTAATTTTTTAAGCCAAACAAAAACCTTTTTTTTTTCAAGTTTTTTAGAACTTTTTTAAAAAATTATTCTGCTTAAGCCTTAGAAGAAGCCTTCTTCGAAATCTCTAATAGTAGTAACGAAATTAAGACTCATTTCGATTGTTCGAATAAGCATATTTCTGTTCTAATGTTAAAGATGCTGAGCAAAAACTTTAAAATTGCCATTTAAGTGAACATTAAGAAATTACTTTTCCATCATAAAAAACAAAGAATATTATTTTTCTACCTATGCAGATATAATAATTAGGTCTATGATTATTTTCATTTCTGTGAGAATTCGACTGATGTCTATGTTTTTGTTAAAATTTATGTAAAAATGTTGAAAATTTTTACAGCAATAAATTTAGCTTTCCCGTCCTTTAAATAATGTCTAAATTTTCATTGTAATATATTTTTATTACTTTTAATTCTAAAAATATATTTTATTAATTTGATTTGATATTAAAAACAATTTGATTGTTAACGTCACACTATATTAACTGTTGACCACGGTCCGGATATCATGCTTGGTAATGTTCTGAAGACAATCCTTACCTATCCTGAAAATAAGTGTCGAGCTATTACGATTTAGATGTAGAGAAGTAGATTTCGATACATTAACCGTTTAAACGCTTCTCAACTACCTATTAATTAATTTAAAAAGCGAACTTCTTTTAGTGCAATTGGAACAAAAAACAGCCATAAAGAATTTTACTTTAGTATAAAATTAAATAAGTGCATTTTTCTAATTAATAATAGAAATATTTAGATTAAATCTTTAAAATAGTTTCAGAATTACGCATGCCACTATCAACGGAATGACCCTGTCGACGAAATAACTTGTCGAAGAAATGACCCTGTCGAAGAAAGGACCCCGTCAATGAAATGACCCTGTCGACGAAATGACCCTGTCAATGAAAAGACCCTGTCGACGAAATGACCCTGTTGACGAAATGACCCTGTCGACAAAATGACCCTGTCAATGAAAAGATCCTGTCGACGAAATGACCCTGTCGATGAAATGACCTTGTCGATGAAATGACTTGTCGACGAAATGACCCTGTCGATGAAATGACCCTGACGACAAAATGACTTGTCGACGAAATGACCCTGTCGACGAAATTGCCTTTCGACGAAATAACCCTGTCGAGGAAACGGCCTGTCGACGAAATGATCTAGTCGATGAAATGGCCTGTCGATGAAGTGGTGTCGATGAAATGGCCTGTCGATGAAGTGATTGTCGATGAAATGAACCAGACCCAAAATAAATCACAAGTAATATTTTCGAAGGTTATAAACGCTTGTAAAATCAATGTTGTCTTTTTCGCATTTTTCGCGTGTTTGAAAAACCTAATTCAGAAATCAAAATTTATACAAAGTTAACTGTCATAGAAAACGATAAAATAAAATGAACAATTTAAAAAGGAAAATATAGTTTATATTTTTGAATTAAAAGAAAATTGAATGCAAAAATAGTTCGCATTTTCCGAAACATTCTTTTTGCAAGACTATTGGTTTATTGGAATTTCGAAAGGTGACATTTTAATGTCTTCTCAACGTTTTTAACGACTGTTTGAATTCTTTTTATTCTTTAATATTTAAATGCGCTTTCGAATGTGTTGCCAACATATTTAACAAGCAATAAAATTCCGTTGCTGAAATTATTTCGTTGTCGATAAATGGATATTCTCTACCATAACATTTATGTCACTACTAGGTTACGAATGGTTGATATTGGTAGAGCGGTTGATGAAATGGTAGATAAAATTGTAAATTTTTTAAAATAATAAATAAAATAGATACAATATTTTAATAATTTTGTTGCAGTTAAATTATTGTTTAACTCCATTTAAGGTTTTAGAAGCTTTTAATAAATTCTATAGCAGAGAGAATCTTTTATTAAATTGCGTAAATAAGGTTTACCTTTTAATAAATATTAATGTTACACTCAATTAATTTAAAGCAAATTATTCAATTTAGATTTTGTTGTTAAATTTAATTTAACAAGAGCCTAAATTAGCTATATTGCGCCAATTTCAAGGTAAAAAGTACCTTCTCTTATTATGTACTCAAAGTACAAACAAGTTCGTAGATAAAATAAATTTTTTTCACTCGGTAAAAAAAATTTTTTTTAATCAGTAAATATGTGATATTGTATTTCGAACTCTCATCTTACAGCATTAAATTATGGAATAAATAGGCAAATGGCAGATGTCCTTTTAATGAAAATTTTTTATATTTATTAAAAAAATAAATCATATATTTTGAAATTTTTTGTTAGGTTTGGATTTTTGTTTTGTTTGGATGATTAAGTTAATTAATATTTTTCATAGCAGTTTTCATTTCGTCGTTAAAATGAAAATAAAATTTATAGATATTGAACTAAGTAAAGAAATTCTGAAACACTTAATGAACACTTAACTAAAAATAAGAAATAGAAAATGGCATTTCGGGACAGTTAATGCTCTTATCACAGTAAAACATTTTAGTCGTAACTTTTACTTGTAACAAAAACTGCGTTAATTAATATATATATATATATAATTTAATCAGATGAGGGGAGGAATTATTTTTACAAATCACATTTTTTTTTAAAGTTTTGAAATATTTCCCTTACAAAAAATAAAGATTTCTTCCTTATAATAAACTTTGGCTCTATACTTTTAACACTGAGAAAAAAGTACCTTTAAAACTACCATAATGTGGTAAAATTTTCCTCCTTTCTAGCTCTTTGGAAACACCAAATAGTTCAATAGTTTTTACCGAAGAGCTTTGATGATAATTTTGGTAAAATTGAAAATAAAATATAGTTTTTAATGCATGATAAAATTTTATAAATGAGATAAAATTTGATAATTATATCATGATACGTAAAAACAGGGCATAAAAAACATTTATTTGGTCAAATTTACTTTTCAGTTTTGTATTTTTTATTAAATGTGTGTAAGAACTATAATTTTGAAAACCAAATTTTTCGGAAAACAGTTACCATATCAAAGGGAAAATTTTCAAATGAATGATTTGAAATGCCGTATATTTTAATTTTATTAACCAGGAGTATGGTTTTTTTTGCCAGAAATATCATTACTCTACAGTTTTCTAATTTAGCACCAATTTTTTTTCACTCTATGTAGAATTGAGAAATTATTTAAATGAGAAATAGACACTATCGAATGTTACGTTGCATTCCAAAAGAGCTGGAGCAGTCTATGCCAAGCCAAACTACAGTATTTTGTATTAAAAATAAGAACACTTCAAAATGTTTAAAGCTAAAATAATTTGGAAAAAAAAGGATAGAAATATTGGCTGAATATTTTGCGATTGAGAGCGTTTTTAAAGAAGGCAACCGGACTACCAACTACCTGAAAACTACAGAAACTACTAACTTTCTGTTTTTAATTTTTATTGTTGCTTTATACGTTGTTTTCAGCTTTACTTACTGATCAAATAAATTATAACTTTATTCTGAAATTTTGCAAGAAACTTAATTAGCTTTTAAAATTAAATCATTACAAAAGTGGAACAGTATTTGAAATAAAAATCATTTAATAAAAAATGCTAGGTGGGTTTGTTTTGTATTTATTACTTATAAAAGTATTCGTATAAAATTATTAATACTTTTCTGACATACTATGATTAAGTACTTCATTGGCTATGTAGAATAGCCTTTGATTAAGTTCTTCATTGGCTATGAAGAGTGGCCTTTGATTAAGTACTTCATTGGCTATGTAGAATGGCCTTTGATTAAGTACTTCACTGGCTGTGTAGAATGGCCTTTGATTAAGTACTTCATTGACTATGTAGAATGGCCTTTGATTACGTACTTCATTGGCTATGTAGAATGGCCTTTGATTAAGTACTTCATTGGCTATGTAGAATGGACTTTGATTAAGTGCTTCATTGGCTATGTAGAATGGCCTTTGATTAAGTACTTCATTGGCTATGTAGAGTGGCCTTTGATTAAGTACTTCATTGGCTATGTAGAATGGCCTTTGATTAAGTACTTCATTGACTACGTAGAATGGCCTTTGATTACGTACTTCATTGGCTATGTAGAATGGCCTTTGATCCTTTGATTAAGTACTTCATTGGCCAAGCTAGAATTGAGAGGAAATTATTATGAGACAAAAACAAGATATAGCTATTAATGCACCAAAGTGAAAGTAAAACAATATTGATATATTGAAGTACAATCAACTAGTTTATTGAAAAATACGTAAAAATATTACAATTCAAAAAATTTCGAATCAGATGACGGTAAAGTGAATCGGCATTCAGGGTACCGGAACATTTTACGGAGCTAAAATCTGACATACCGTAATTCTTACAGTAATTATTACAGTAAATTCACTGTATCACTATAATTAATTAAATAATACTGTGAAAAGTACGGTGTGATATATAACGGTAAAAAATAGATTTTATGGTATAATTGATTTCAAGACTGATGGGCCAAAAGTACCGGTACTTCTTACCGTGAATTGATGCGGAATTTTTAACAGTGTAATGAGAAAAGTATGAAAATAAATAGGGAGTAAAGACTACAAGAACACTTTATAATAAGAAATAAAATTATGGAATAAAAATTATGGAATCAAATTATGGAAAGGTATGAAATATATTTATCAGTTGAATTAGTTTGTATAGATTAAGTCACATTTTTATTACATAATATCAGTTATTAGTACTAGACAGTGCCATATTTCTATTTATATTTTCGTACCTATTGAGGTAGATACCTAAGTTCGCCACAAATTCGTGAGACGAAGCCTAGCTTCAAACCTTATTAAATGAGAAAACTAACATAGTTTATGAAATAATAAAATTCAGGTATTTTTCCCCTGTATAAATTAAACATGAGAAAGTATTCTACTAATTAAATGTAATTCCACTCAATAAATTGCTCTTTTTTTTACACTACCATTTAGTAGAAACTATAATTATGAGAATTAATTTTGTATTGCTCTTTTAGGTAAGACTGGAAAAAAGGGGTCAAGAACAACTAATGTATGATTCAGTGACATGAACAGATGAAAAAATGACGTCACTCAATAACATCAACCCTGATACCAACTACAGAAAAATGGATCCGGAAGTTCTCATAGAACTTCCCGATCCAAAAATAATCAATGACAGTTGTACTATAATTATGAATGGACATCACAACTATGCCATGAATGAAGAAAAGGAAACAGCAGTTCATGGTGACGAAGAAATCGAACCCTTTTTAAACCACACGCCATCCAATCATAAAACGTCGTCCAATATGTATCCGCTCAAAGAATCATTCACCACATCTAGTCTTGAAGAGGAAAGTGATCCAGAATTAGAACCGGAGAGTTCAACTCACTTGCTCCAAGGCAAGGAGCAGACTCAGTTAAGCCCAAAATGTCTGAAAGGTAAAGCCAAATTACCATCCTTTCGTTCGCCAAGCAAGAAACAAACATCCAATGACGCTCATTCTCATATCCAACACAGACCTTTGGGTCCAGTTCAAAGTACTTTGCCAAACTCTGTGTGCCATGTCGCCAAAAAATATTGGCCCTGTACTCCTGTGTTATGGGTACTGCTTTGCATCGTAGTAGTAGTGCTATCATTCTGCTTAGCCATTGGAGTATATCTTGCCACAGTCACAAAGTGTGAACATCCAAGGCAATGGTGGCAAAGAGCTACTATATATGAGGTGTTCCCCGCTTCTTTCCAAGACACAGATTCTGATGGGTTTGGTGATATGAAAGGCTTGGTGCGAAGATTGGACTACATACAAAATTTAAGCGTAGATATTGTTCGACTGAATTCTATTTTCAGTGCTTTGGATTATCCACTTGAGTACGAACATGTGATCGATTTCGCAAATATAGACCCCCATTTAGGACGTTTAGAAGATTTCCAGGAGTTTGCTTCGGAAGTTCATGCTCGAGGCATGCATTTAATTCTGGACATCAATCCAACCATGACGAGTGATCAGCATACTTGGGCAGCTCATTGGCTACTTCATCGGCAAGGTCCATTCGAACATTTTTACTTCAATATAACTGAAGAAGAGGTAAGAAAACATTAATTTGCTCGATTCATTTTCTTTTGTTATTAAAAAATAACGATGTTTCTATAGGGCTAAGACTCATTAATTATTTGCAAATTTATTACGATTATCGCTCATTGCGCACGGAAAAAAATTCTGGTAAAATTATCGTACTGTATTATAATGACAGTTTTGGCAAAAAAAAAAAAAAACGTAATTTCATTAATAAAAACCAAAATATAAGGTATTTCAACTGTTTATTTGGGTAATTTTTCCATTCAAAGGTAACAGTTTACAAGAAATTCTGTTTCTCAAACTTATAAGTCTTATTGTCACATATTTTGTAAAAATATAAAACTGAAAAAAAGTTAATTTATCCGAATTAAGAATTAAAGATTTTTAAGATGTTCTGTAAGATATCACGACAAAATAACAGAATGTTACCACAATTACCTTATTTTATCACACGTTATAAAACTGTATTATATTGTTAGTTTTCCCCAAATCATTACTAAAGCTCTTCGGTAAAAAAATAATTGAGTTTTCTTGATGTTCCCAGAAAACCAGAAACAAGGTAAATTTTTCATGGTAAAAAAAATATTCTGATAATTTTGACCGTACTTTTTTTTATTCTTATTTCGATTTCACCCAGTAAATCGAATTTCCCTTTTATTACGTTTTTTTCCTGTCTAGTAATATTACAATATTTCTACCATTATCTTTTTTAAAACTAAAACTTCGGAAAAAAAGTCCGAAAAAATTTGAATGAAATTGAAAAAAAATGTTAGTGAAAAAATTGTCAGGGCAAAGTTTTCTTTTAAGAATGCTTTTTCAGATATTTCAATAATTGCTAGATTCCAAACAGCACCCACTTGTTAAATAAAAGAAACATTTGAAAAAAATCTATCTAATCATTAAAAATAATTGTAATAGTAATCATGACAAAAAATGAAAAAAAAAGATTGTATCGAATAATAGGTTTTAGATAGGTGTTTATTGCACACGCAATTAACTTCTAAACGTTACTTCTAAAAACTCAGATTCCCTCTTTAAGATGGGGATACTAAATTGGATAGAATCTCTCAGCTCCTTTGTTTATACACGAAATGAAATTATTAGAATCATCGCCGTAATTATCTTACATTATATTAACATATGTATGAGATAAGATTAAAAACAGTTAAGTTTGCCTCAAGATCCAATAGTAAGAGAAAATCTAGGAATAAGCAACTAAACTACATTTTAGAAGCAACGTTGACAGATAAAAAGGATTTTTCTTTTTTTTTTCCTAAGTAAGAGATACTAGCTACAAACTTTTTTTTGTTCTTAATTTTAAGTTTCCTACAAACTTCTATCAATTAAAGCGTATAGTAAATTTTTTCCATGGATATACAGTATATTGTAAAATTTTATCAGAGGTAAAACTACATTGGGATGTCCCATGGTATTTTTTTATTTAGCCAATTTTTGCCATAAAATTATGGTGTATTATAGTCTTCGATTATATTTTTATAGGGTACAGCAACATTTCTTTACATCCCTACTGAAGTTTATCATACAACGATACATAAACAAATTTATAAATAGACTATGATAATCAAGAGTGGTTGAATTACAACGAATTTTCGTAGCTTTTCACAATGATTGTACTCCAAAAATAATTACAAAAGAAATTAAGGCTAGAGATTAAATTATTAAATATATGAGAAAAGACAATTATATAACAAAGCAAAGATTTTTTCACCGAACGAAGAACCGGACAATACCCAGATAGTTGAAATCTTTACGATCAAAATTAATTTGAATATAATAACGGCAATATAAATAATGAAAAAAAAATCGAATGAACTTAGAAATTTTGCTTGTTGGTTCTCTATTGTTTATTAACCCAAAATCAATCGCAACATCAAAGATTGAACACAATATCGTAGGAAGGCACAAAATCTAACATATGATGTTAACGAAATTCACACAACATTACAGCCACGAGAGCTAAATTGGTTTTAGATCAGGGGTTTCCAACTTACATGGGGCCGGGGGCCACAATTAAAAACACAAATCAAATGGCGGGCCGCAACTTTATCAAAATTTTATGTAGGACTCTTTTATGTTTGAAGGAACATTAAATATTACTGTCAGATTTTTACCAAGTTGTACAAAANTTTGAAACAACTGGAATTGACTTTGCCGGACCCCTCTATGTTAAAAACGAAAAATTGGTTACAAAGGCCTACATAGTCATATTTACGTGTGCTGTAACTCGAGCCATCCACTTGGAAGTAGTGTCTAATTTAAGCACTGATGTTTTCTTACTTGCGCTACAACGGTTCGTATCTCGACGTTCCCTTCCTCATACTGTGTACACAGATAACGCCACAACATTCGGCGCTGCAGACAAGGAGTTGAGGTCCTTGTGGAACATCATATCCTCTTCCAAGGTACACCAGTTTTATGCTCATCACAACATGACATGGAAATTCATCGCCCCACGTGCGGCTTGGTGGGGAGGGTTTTGGGAGAGAATGATTGGTACTATCAAACAGTGTCTGCGGAAGACCCTTGGTAAAGCTTGCTTAGACACTACCAGTCTGGTCACGGTTCTATGCGATATCGAAGCCGCCGTGAACAGCAGACCAATTGTTCATGAATATGGTATTACAGACGATCCGGACGAAGCACTGACACCCTCTCACTTTCTGATAGGAAAACGACTCACAACTATCCCTTCTGGCCCATCGAGTTCGGACTCTGATTTAACACGCATATGGAAAAGTCGTCAACAATTAATGGACTCCTTTTGGAAAAGATGGCAGAAGGAGTATTTGATGGACTTGAGAACATTTCACCATGTGAAGAACCCATCTAACGGTACTGTAATCCGGGTTGGAGATGTGGTCTTGTTGCAGGAGGACGTCAGACCTCGGCACACCTGGAGGAAAGCACGCGTCGAGTCGGTAATCTTAGGCCGTGACAACAAAGCCCGTACATGCATACTGCGTGTAAATGGAGGGACAATTTCCCGACCCGTGCAGCTGGTCGACCAGGGCGGGGAGGATGTTGCACGCCTGTAATTACCTAGTAACGAGATTAAGTAAAGGAACTTAGTTGTCTCTGCATGGCAACACTTTAGTTAGTAGTCGTTTGTAAATAAAGGTAGATGTTGTTCTTTTTCAAAATATACTGAAGTTGTGTTTTAATTACGTTTACGAGAATTAATATCAGGCTTATGGTGTTTTGCCATATAAATGCCACATGCATTTCTATGGTTAACTTCAGGAATCTTGCCAAATAAGTTTCTATGGTTGCCATAGGTTACCATAAGGCATGTCTATGCCAAATTGTCTTAAGGGCACAACTTTGTTAAGACTTTAAACATAAAAATTATAGTGTATACATCACTAGATGCACTATATTAAATGAATGGCTGTCATATACCATAAATATAAAGCATTTACATTGCTAAAAGTTCCATTACACTTGAAGCAATAAAATGCACATAACACGGAATAACTGGAATCTGACTATAAAATAAAATGCATAAATGTAATAAAAAAATCCTTCAAGATTTCATTCATTTAATAAGTATATCCTTCAACAATACTAATTACAAGAATTTTGCATTCTTTAAACTGTCTGAAAACTTATAGAATTTATCTTTAAAGATGAATAATTTCTTATTTTGTCTCCAATCATCTTTTGTGGATAAAAGGTATACAACATCTAAAATTTGAAATCTGATTATAAAATTAAATGAATAAAAAGTGCATAAATTATAAATATGATATAAATAGACTTAAATATTATATTTTACTCATCGAATAACACTTATTATGCCATCAACACGTTATCAGACAGCTAAAAATGGCCTCTTTTAGCTGTCTGATAACTAATAGAATTTTTCTTTAAAGATAACTTCTTATTTTATTTCTTCTCATATTTGTTTAATAAAACGCATACAACATAGAATCAATGAAATTTGATTATAAAATCAAATCTGTAAAAGGTATAAAGGTAATAAACATAGTCGTGAAGATTTTATTTTATCTATTTAATAAGTATAAGTATATCCTTCAATAATACTTGTTACGAGAAAATAGCATACTTTTTTCTGAATAATTTCTTATTTTGTCTCAGCTCATCTTAGGTAAATAAAACACATATAACATTGAGTGATTGGAATCAGAATATAAAATAAAATATATTAAAAGTATAGAGGAAATAAACGAAGTTTTGAAGATTTTACTTTATCTATTTAATAAATATATCTTTTAATAATACTAATTACAAGAAATTAGCATACAGTTATCTGCCTGAAAACTTTTAAAATCTATCTTTAACGATGAATAACTTCTTACATTGTATCTTCCAGTCTTCGGCAAATATTTTTAAAAGTTCTCAATTGCGTGATAGTTCCGAGACTGAAAAGGAAAGCAATTATGATAAAAATAGTCTAAATTTTCTATAAAAGTACCATTTTCCTTCAGATTGCGTGATAACTTGTGATGCGTGCTGCTGCTGTTGCTATTTATTCAGAAATAGCAATCAAACTTGTTGTTTGAGTGCGAGTAAGTAATATGTCATACAAGACACTTTGTTAGAACCAAATATCGGAAAATGTCTTTTTCTAGCAATTATGCAAAACGAGTTTATTGAAGAAACATGTTTTGTTTTACAGTGATAGCATATTAATCTCGATTTCTTTCAAAATTAGATTCTTTGGCTGCATTAAAACAAAGCAAAATTGCAGTTCGTAAATATTTTTTTTGGAATTTTTATTTTTATTTTTGACGAAAATGACAACAGAGTATAATTTCATATGCAATAATTTGCTCTTAAAATAGAGTTTTATACATTAAAAATAAACTAAATTCGATATTGGTTTTAAAATGAACATTCGAAAAAAGCTTACGTCAAAAATATAGAATAAAAAGTTTTGCATACTTGGCATGGTTATGCTTAATTCCCACAATTGTAAAAACAAGTTGATACCAGGTTGTGTTTAAAAAAGCAACAAAGTACAATAGCAATCATATTAATTGAATAAATGGTACATTTTTATTCTTTGTTGCTTTAGAAAAAGAAAATATTTTGGAGTCGATTTTCATACTATGATTAAAGCCAAACGTTCTTGTAGATAGAATGATGGACAGCCACCTGTGAAAGAAAAAGGAACAAAGAGACCAAAAATAAAACTAAAGTTAGGCTGCAAATAACAAATCCGCAATTCTTATTCTTTTTTATTTACCACGCACCCTTTTACCCAAAACTCAAATTTTAGCTTAGCGTATTTGCGGGATTTGATGGAAGGAACATTTGAAAACGTGTTTAGTTTAATATAATAACGTAAAGTTAATGACGTAATAACGTACGGGATAGCCTGGTCGTTGGGTGCTGGGCCCATGTCCAAGAATTCGCTGGTTCGAACCCCACCGACCGCCGTATAGTAAAGTGACTGATGCACGTTAAATCTGTCGAGTCGCGAAGGTCCTCCATATTCCCATAACAAATCAATACCTCTGGAGGTACTGGATTGGAGATCAATCGTTCTCTGATTCAGGACAAAATTACGATCTGTGGATGAATGAATGGGTGTCTGAATGGGCTCGCCCTATAAACGGGTGCGAAGTATGGTGTGGCAGAAGTCGGATTCTTGGCCATAGATGGCGCCACTGAAAACAAGAAACGCACACCCTGCTTTAAAATTTGCTCGGTTTTACCAAGCTGGCTTGCCCGTGTGGCAAGAGGCATTAGAAACAACAACAACGTAAAGTTAACAGGAAGGGTAATACATAAAAATTAATAAAGTACGTTAACGTTTTAGCTTAATTAATTGTGTAGGTATATGTCTTTCAGTTTTCGTATGATTTCGTAGAGTTGATCGCTATCAATTTATTGACTATTTACTTTATTTCATCCCATTCGAAGAGCTAGTATCCAGCAAGCCATTTAATAAATGTAGTGGGATTGAGATAGAGAGAAATTTATGCATATTTACAATGGCGGGAATATACAAACAAATATAGATACCATTGTATAAATGTAAGAAGAAAATATACTTGAAAATGTAGTCCATCAAGCATGCCTAGACTTTTTATTTATTATCCGTAGATGCAAACTATAATTGCTTGCATTTTACTTCGGAATCTTACTTTATCATTTATAGCTTTACAAAAGTAAGTTTATTAATGCATTAAAGAAATTAAGGTACTGGTACTCTGAGTGCATTTCACACTCGTAAAAAAGCATTTTCACAGTAAAATTTTATACTGTACAGTGTATTTATTTAATTACAGTTATTTTACGTTAAATATTAGAGTAAAAATTACGGTATGTTAATTTCTTTTGGTCCTTAGCGTGTCCCAGTGTCAATGGATTTTACAGTAAAAAGTACTGGCTCCATTAATGGCCTCACTTTTAACCGTAATTTTTTTTTCAATGACCCCCTGGATAATGACCTAGATCATACAGGCACCTGAAGGGCTAATTTGTTGGCCACTCTTTCAGGGGCACCATATTAGGTGGGCCAGGGTTGCTCCCACAGTAAGGACAGATAGTAGAGAGAAGGAAAGAACATCCATGCCTTTACCGGGATTCGAACCCATAACCTTTTTGATGCAAGGGCAGTTCTCTAACCCCTACACAGGCCGGTCGGTCTTTTTACCGAAATTGGATTCATAATTTCTTATAGTGTTGAGGTAGACTCCAGTAAATGTGTACTTGTTAACGATTTTAATCTAATACCTTAATGATTTTTTTTTTTTGCAGGGAGAAGAACCTCCTTTAGAGCCAAATCCAGAATATGCCGACGTAACATGGACATCTTCGCACCGGACCTTTGGAAGTCATCTTTACTTGAATTGGTCTAATCCGATCCTGCAGTTAGAGATGAGAAAAATATTAGAATTTTGGTTGTCTCAGGGTGTGGATGGTTTTTATTTCAAACATCTGGAGAACATGCATGTTGAAGATCGCTCTCACATTCACCTAATTCTTCACCAGTGGCGAAAAGTGTTAGACATCCACAGCTTCAACAACAGTCACAAAGTTCTCATGATATCACATGAGAACATAGAATATTTATCAATGGTTGTTGATCCCATGACATTTACTTCAATTCCATCCATGATAGATTTGGTTGATGCAAGTCTCAGTTTAAGGAAACCAAATTCTTCCGAACTAATCGTTGTGGCTGAGGAGGTGAAGAGTCTGCGAAAGTTCTGGAATCAGTTTCCCTTTCCTCCCACTATCGTCTGGCATCTGGGCGCTGTGGAAACTATGCGGCTGGCAAACCGAATCGGTTCGGATTTCAACATGGCTGGATTGTTTTTACTTACTATTTTACCTGGATCGTTTTCCATTTTTTATGGGGATGAGATAGGAATGCAAGATTCGTTCGATCCAAGTTCTAAGAAAGTAAGCATGTGAAAATGATTTAAATAAGCTTTGACAACTGAATTTTTCTATTTGGTATTGGTAGATTCCCAAGATGTGAAAATATCTGTCACAGAATCTGGGGAAGGGAATTTTCTTTATCTATTATTACTAATTTAAAAGAAAGGAAAAGTAAGTTCAGAAGAACCTAGAGTATGTCATGAGGTTTCAGTTGCTGAAAAAAATACTACAAAATATTAAAATGCAAGCAAATTATTGGAAGAGAACTTTACCGCTGTCTTCTCATAATTTATTTTCATTTGTATATTCTAAAATTTTCTTTTCAGTATTCGAAAACTACATGGCTTATTCTAGGTTTGTCTGGACGCACTTTTCTACCCTCTAATTTTCAAATTAGTGATGAAGGAGAAAGAGAATTTGAAAGGAAAATTTTCTACAACAGTATGACGTCTTCTACGAGTGGAAAAATTCTAAATATGCTTTTAATCCTCTTTATTTATTTTTCACGAATAAACTAAAGATGGATGTTTACTTTATTTAGCAATATCTTTCGATACACGTAAAAAATACAAGGCCGTCACCCAATCACAATTTGAGGTATAAAACGAGCAGTATGTTGGATTTTCTATCAATTGTTTTATGACAAAACTATGCTGACACAATTCTTAAATCAGCAATTTTTAGTAGTTAAATACTACTATACAGTTGCCTGTTTTAGATTAGTATCTTTGTTATTAAGATGAATAGAATTTTTCATCCTCATCCAAATCAGTTTTCAGTAATACAATTATATTTTAAAAAATCTAAAATTTGACAAACGCGTAGTTATAAATTACTTCCTCAAAACCACAAATAGCAAGGGAAAATCAATAAATGTTCTAAAAATAAACAAGTTCTATTTCTCCTTATGTAATAAAGCAAAATCTTTATATCTTTTTAAGTAGGTTTCGTTCTGCCTAACAATACTTATCATCAAAAATTTTTTAAGTACAAAAAAAAAATAAAGTACGATAGTTTTGCATTAAGCAAAAATTTTATTAAGTACAAAAAAGTAAAGTACGAAAAACTATTGGAGAACAAAAACAAACTAAAAATTTGTCCGAAAATCCAAAATGACGAGAGTTGAGGCCTCCTAATCTTAATTAGAAACTCCTAATTTTCATTGCAGATATGGGATTTCTTGAAAAGTACGACAATTTGGTTCATAGATGCTGTAATTTCCATTTTGCGTCATAGGTGGTGCTGTAATTGAAAAATGAGGATTGAGTTAAATTTGTTTAAAATCGAGATATCTCGAGAAATTCACATCAGATTTCAAAAACATGAATAGACTTGTTTGACTTTTTGTATAAGCCTTCTTTTTCATGATACGAATCTTTCTTCCACTTCTGGTGCTCCTCGGAGAGGGTGTGTGTGGGGGGGAGGGTTGCTATTTTGATATAAAATATTTCACGCGTGTATTTTTAGATTTTTGATTCGAGGCGTATTTCACGAGATATTTGACCCGTAAATCTTATCCTTCCTTAGAGTTAAGGATATATTTTTTTATAAAACAGTTTTTCTCGTCATTCCTTTATTCAATCTTTACTCATAATATACAAAAAAGCTCTTTTTTCACTATTTATCATGTTTTATTATAGACGAGAAACGTTATAAACACACTAACAATACGAATTAAAATTGTTGTAAGTGGAAAACTTATAAAACTGATTATTAATACAAAATTCAATGTGCTTATATTGAGGCAAAACTTTATGAATTATTTAGGAAAACATCGCCTAAGTTATAACCCTTTTGAAACAATAATAAAATATTCAAAATTAAACCCAATTTATATTCCTTTGAAAACACTTCATGGAGTGTTTTAGCAAATTGTCAATAAATTTCGCAGAACTGTCATCTTGTGCTTTGCAATTCTCTAAATAAGTGGATAATATATTTCAGTCGGATAATGAATGGGTGCTGTAAAAGACCCCTTACGGGCTCAGAAAATATAATATCTTTATTTGATGTCCGTCTTAACTGGACCGTGTAAGATGGAATGGTGCCAAAGAACGAGCCAGGTCATCAGTAAAGCGTCTTATTGGCGACTTCTTTAAGTTTTCTGCACAAACGGCACTAACATTAGAAATTAGATTAGAGTAACTTGAAGTAAATTTCAAAGTTGTATTTAAAAGAAAAAAATATATATATGCTTTTATAATCACTATTTTTACATTGTTATTAATTAATATTTTTTATTGATTAATGTATTTTATATTTAGGTAATCAGTTTTTTAGTAATTGGTCCGTGTTTTCAGTTAAAGTTTAAGCAATTGGTGAAGTTGCTAGCTTAAAGAAATAATGTATTGGGTATTTTTTCTTTCATATAAATAACGACACTTTTTATTTCCATTTAAAATTATATTTAGTCATTACTTAACCCTTTGACGAACTCCGGTGTCCTCTTTATATATCTTTTTTCTGACGCTTTAATTAACAACAAAAATATATTTTGGTATTTATTAATTATAAAAAAACAGTCTTATAGTTACTAAAAAAATTCGCTAGACTATCGGAATTATATTTGTACTCAAATATAAAATCCAAAAAATGTTGTTTGAAGAAAAAAAAATTTTTCTTCATATTCCAAAATTTATTGAGGTATATTATCTTTGAGGTATATTACCAAAACAATCAATAATTTAACGTCCATTTTACGTATAATTTTGCTTACAAAGCTCACTTTTCAAGCTAAGAGGCAAAGTTCCGTAAATCCATGTTAATAATATGTAACTGTAGAACTTGAATTGGTCT